CTCATGCATTGCCCACCATGGATAAATGCAGCTTTGTCAAGAGTTTTTCCCCTCTGTGCAGCTGTCTGCAGCCCCTCAGGCACTCTCCTGCTCAGCAACCCGAGCAAGTTGGATGGTTGTCAGGGCAGCAAGAAATGAAGATTCAAGTTGAGAGACAGTTTTCATTACACAGCATGGCCTATTAGATATTATGTTGAAAAAATATTTTTCTAAAGAAGCCTGTGTATGCAACGAATTAAAACTAGACACACCTGTGTACTGTGCCAATGTGATGTGTGTACATAATGCATACTTCATTGAAATCTGTCTGGGATACACCTCACACCTCAAATCATTTCACAATTCCTGGTAGTGACTCAATTATGCTCTGTGGATGTTCCCAAAGTCTGTTTGCAGTCACACTAAGCTGTTAATTTTCCATTATGTGGCCAACAACACAAGCATCAAGCTCCAGCACCGCATTGACCTTAAATAGGCACACGTTTTGTTGAAAATGAATAATTTTAGTGCAAATTCTTGCAAATAAAAAGAGAAATTAAAAGGAATCAAGTTATTTAGATGCTACATGGGTAAAGAAAAAGTCAGGCCTCCATACCTACCCTCTGTGGTTAAAGTGCTGAACTTACAGTACTGGTGCAAGATTAATAGTGTGTTAGCTGTATCTGAAGCTACTACGAATGGAAGACTGTCCTCCCATTAGCAACACCCCATGGTTAGGGTTTATAGCTAAGTGACCTTCAGTGGTATGAGACAACATGAGTAATTTCAGCAAATGCATGTTTATATTCAAGCCTTCTTGTGGCTGTAGTAATGACCAGAACATTTTTTAACTGTTTATTCCTGGCATATCTCCTGCCACCAATGCGGGTGCTACTTCAGGAAATGTGAGCTATGAGTCATAGCAGGGACAAAAAGCCTATCTGGTAGTTTAGGTTGGAGGATTTGTTGGCTAATAGATCTGCATGATATGCTAACTGATGCTCTAATAGAGGGAGTTTTGGGGGAACTGTGCAAGAAAGGCTCTGAAACTGGCTAAAGCAGAAGAAATTCCCAGGCAAGATGTGATGTCACAAAAAGAGTGAGTGGTGAACTCCTGATTAAATACAGGAGATGTCACAAAGGTTTTGAGTCAGGCAGAGCAAGTGTGTCACCAATAAACCCTTGACTCTTACCTGGGCTGACAGACAGAGAATGGGAGGAGAAGGGCTGGCTCCATACTGCTCAGTCAGCCAGAAAGCCCCCAAACAGCAAGGCTAACACAGGTCAAGTGATTTGGCGCCCTTGGTGTATTAAAGCTGTTTACAAAGGACTAAAAGATTTCATTGCTCTGCACTTTTCTACAACCTGGCACTGAGCTGCTGCTTCATGGACCCTCTCAGCCAATCTGAAAGGGTTAGTAAAGAATGTTGCCTTTACAGGTGTTTGTTTTTTAGTTTATTTGCAGAGGAAAGAGGTTTTTATTGGTGGCTCTTGATGTCTGGTGTAGAGTCAAACACGAGATTACGTGAGATCATCTGCGCACACACAGTGGTTTTTACTATAGCTGTGAGGTCTTTCACTGTCAAAGCATTTTCTTTATCCCTTTAACCATCACAATTAAATGCTTAACCTCAGACCTCACCATAACAGAGTATGTGAAGTTGTTGTCACGCGTTAATAAATAAACTAAAATTACTAACAAGTACTAACAAAAATTTGTGGTGTGTCATTATGGTGTGTTAACTGTGGCCCAAATTTGACAGTGAATAGCAGTGAATGCTCAAGCTAACAAGCTAAAGAAAAGAGTCTTGTTCCTGTGGGCGTCCACATCCTGATTGTCCCATGTAAGTGATCAACGCAACGCCTTTGCTGGATCACGTCACTGTGCAGTGAGAGTGAAAACAGCATAGAAGGTCACACACAGGTTCAGTTAGAAGCTCATGAGTAGTCCATGCACAGTTATAAGGTCTGAAGGGACTCGTGAAATCAGGCAGGAAAACCTTTTACAGTGCCTGCATTTTGTCTTTTACTACATATAATAATTCATACTCAGAAAGTAGAGGTGACCTTCATTACAAGATGATTAGTCAAAACATTTGCACCTGCTCTTCTTTGCATTCTGTGACTTTCAGTTGAATAAAAGACTGATTTTCAGTCATATATTTTGAAATTGAATATTTCTTAAAAATACTGTTAAAATATCATCTTGTCTCGTTCTCATGAACCCGATGTCGTATATCATCACACCCCTAACATTTAATAATATATAATCATTTAGTGGAATATTCTGGTGTCAGTGACTTTTTGCAGACCTTTTCAATGTTTCAAGTACATTTTGGTGATGAGCCACTACTGCTCACGGTTTCCTTTACCCCATAAAGACAGATGCTGCCATCTTGTGGGTAACTGTGTAAAGTGGGTTTACTGAAGCCTGCCACTGAGCATTACTGCCTTCATTCATCTTAATAAATTGAATTAGTGGCACCCACCTATAAACAACTGTCTGAGCACCCGTCACACCCTTTCATTGTACACCAAGCCCAAGTTAAAAGGTTATCACACTACAATGTGCTAATGCTTCATAAAACATAATGAATCTTGAATGGTGCTTTGGCCTTTAATCACATCACTCTACTCAGTGGTGTAATTTAGCCGGTATTTAATAATAGATTAAAAATCCACACTGAGTGGCAGGCAGTATGAGACACAGGCTTCAAATCGATTTAGCAAAATGGTAAAAAGGGGATAAAACAGTAATTATTCACATCAATCAGAAACAGTGATTGAAAAAAACCTCTGGGGCATGAAAGCGCGCACATACACACACACACGATTCTACAGCCAATGGCCTGTCAGTGCCCTCGCTTGCCAGTTCCAGACAGGCAATGTGTTCCAGATTAGATCAAACTCCAGGTTGCCCATTTCGATTCTAAAAGCAGCCATACAGCACTTTGTTACCATGACGACACTCGCAGTCTGTTCTGTCGTCTGCAGACATAAAAATAGAGAAGGGTCTGTGGTTCAGTTCAGGACGTGCTGAGATGATAGTGGGCAGCAGACAATCAGAAGAGAGCATGATTACAACACAAACATTAGGATGCTGGAGTATCTGGCACTGACCCCTAATCATGATGATACAGCAACAAGCTGCAAGCCTTGAACACAAAGTTTTCTGACTTTATGGTTTGTTTCCTAAAGTAGTTACAGCCCTCGCACTTTAGAGTTTAATCTGTTGTGACAGGGGTGAAACGGGGGCAGGACTGGTTTGTGGCTACAACCACAAACACATAACAGAACTACAGAGAGACGCAAAACAACTGCTAAATAACAAAATAACCACAAAGAGATGCAAAATGATGGACCTAAATGTATCTAAAACCACCTCTGTTGTCGATATGATTACCTCTGCAATTAAACCCTTATGCGCTGTTGCTCCTGCAGTGAAGATAATCTACAGTATTCGCTGTTCACTTGCATCAGAGCAATGCAGTCTCCTTTCAAATAAGTGTAATGGATTAATTCTAGCTGGCAATGTGGGAGAGGAAGTATATGCTTGAACAAATAAAGCAGATAAGCCATGGAAATAAGTGCAGCCAAAAATGAGGCAGATTTGCTACTGCAAATGTTTTTTCCTCTTAACTTTTAAGTAAATGCGGTTTGATACAAGTTTGATCGTACTCTTCAGATTGCTTTATCTCCTCTTAGCTAGTAGTTCTGCTGGTACAGAGGATTTTTTTCTTCCAATGTATTGTAGCATTTTCTTCCTTATTCATTTCAAGGGTCTAAGGAAAAAGCGTTCCGTATGCTGTGCTGATTATAAAGCCCCTTGAGGCAAATTGTGATTCTTGTTATTTGGTTTTGTCTGTGTGGGGTGAAGCACTTTGGATAAACTGTGCTGTGTTTAAAATGCTTTATAAATAAAACTGAACCCCATTGAATTGAAGTTGCCTTTTTAATGAGACATATATGTACATAAGATATACATGTAGTCATCCACATAACAATGACAATGAATATTGTGCTTTCAGATAATGTGCCCTATTGGAAGCATGTAAACAGAGAACAAAAAGGGGCCAATGATGGAGACCTGGGGAACACCACAGGTCAGAATGAAGAGGAGGCATCACAAAAGAGAAATAACTTCTGTTTCAAAGTAAGATCAAGTCCTGTCAAAGTTATTTTTCCCAAGATGAACCAGATTTTCAAGGTTATCCAGTGGAACTGCATAATCAACAGATTTGAAAGTTGAGATAAGATCAAGCAAAATTAAGATCGCACCATCATCAGTATAAGCTATTAGTAACACATCATTGGTTTCTTTAATTTTGGCTGTTTTGGAGCTGTGAAGAGATCAACAACCTGTACTCCTATATCAACAGCTTCAAAATCTGGACAGAGCCAGAAATGTTGAGCAAATGAATGGGTGTCTTGTCAAATAAATTTTTAGTTTTGTAGTGTTTTTGCTATATTCCCTATTTATATATAATATTTCTGCAGAGCCATCACACCATGGGCACAAACAGTTGAACTCCGCCCCTCTGAACGGTGCTATTGTACGACAAAACAACCAGACACAAGTACAGTGTCTTCCCCAGTGCCATCACACTGACGAACACTTAATCCATGACTGTATAACAAAACGACAACCCTCAGTGCAACTCTTCTGCCTGTTTATGAAGCTCAAAAGGTTTCAGTTTTTGGTGAGATTGTCATAAATGTATAAGTTCAATTATATGTTCATTATTGAGGTCATAGTTAAAGGTGGTGTTGTACTGGACTACATTATATTCAGTGTGCCTAATATTTTGACCTTCTCATGTATGTCAATGGGGAGGACAAAAATATACAGACACCTCTGAGCACTGTACATACACATTGAGAGCCACTGTACCGGCGTCAGTTCATCATGTATCCAACACACCTGGCCAATAAAGCCAACTCTGGTTCTGGTTCTGGTAATATGATCTGAGGCATATGTTCAAAATACAAAACAAACACACAACGAGTTAGCGGAACACATTCATTTTTTTTCTGTGGACAGCAAGGGGTAAGAGGCACAAGGCTCCTCCCTGAAAGTTTGTAAAAACATTCCAGCAAAGAGAAAGCAGTCAAAGAACTGGAAACTCTCAGACCCACCTCTTACTCTCTGTCCTCCTCACCTCCTTGCAAATAGAGTTACACTATATAAAGGTGTTTATAGGTTGTCTGAAGCTCCAAAGACTATTCTGCAGAGGAATGCATCAGTGAGTAAACTCTGAAGAATCTTCTACAAGCTGGACAGACAAAGACACTCATCTGTCCAGTTGATCGGCTCACAATGAAACCGGTGTTAGTCCTCCTGGTTTCCATGACTTGGACTCTCACTGCAGCCCAGTATTACTACCAGGGGCTGATGGATTATCTGGAGAACAGATTGTTGGCTATAGAGGTAAGAACCAATTCTCCTTTAAATAATTGCTCAATATTCTTTTTCTATGCATAAAGTGGCAGCACATATCCCTCTTAAAAATATAAATCACTTGATTTGTTTGAGTTTGTTCTGCTTTTATTTGAATTTAAGTGCTTAACTAATGCAATCCAGTTAATGCAATCTCTGCCTAGCTCATCAACTTTGCAGGGGCCTCAAGGGGAATATCATCTGATGCATGCAAAGCTATCCTTCTCATACAACACCTAACATTTGTCTGACAACAGCGTTTAAGATACTGTCACACCAGTAATGAGTACAAGCTCGGGCTCTGCTGCCATAGCATCAAACATCCCAATAGCCTATTTATTTTAAGGTAGGATGACGTGTATTATAATAAAGTGCCTCAGGGAAGGAATGAAATAAATGAGTCCAGTATATAGTGTTTTTGCAAGATGCAAGATGACTACATGTCTGGTTATCTTAGGGAGTAAGGTCAGTGAATTCTAATCTTTTTTAATGCATTCTTTTAGAGTCAGTTTCAGTCAGATTTTTCTTTTCATTAACCGTGTGGCTGCAATTCAAAATGGACAATCTTAAAACTGTTGTCCACATGAAATTAATAA